CTGGCGACTTCAATTCACGACACGAGTTCTGGAATTGTATTAATAATAATACTAACGGAAGGCGTATTTAAAATTTTCTTGTAGAAAACTCAAATGACATCACATTACATTATACTTTTTCTCCAACTAGATATCCTATTAATAGTTTGCAAACTCCATCCATTATTGATCTATCATTAACAAAAAATATCCGTAACTACACATTGTTTACCATATACAATATCTGAAACCAATTCCGATCACAACCCCGTTATCATATCATACTTAAGGATAGAATTCTAGATTTCATTAACATACATACAATTATACCAAGCAATCAATATTTCGTCAAAATCACTCCACACTTCACCCACTTTCAATACTTGTAGAACAAATTATATTCAAGCTTAACAGGAGACGCAATACAGGCATGGTAATTTTAGATATTGAAAAGGCTTTCGACACAGTTCGGATTTTGTGTATACTACTAAATACTACTACTGAGCTTATAGAAAATTTTCAAACTTCTGCGAGGAGAGATAGAAATTTCTTCTTTGACCTGCTTTTTGAAAAGTTTCAAGTAACATTCGATGAATTAAAGCAAATGTAAAAGTCCAATGACTTTGAGCAAATATTAATTATATTATAATAATGAAACCAACTATATCACAACAGATAACACATTTCTCACGAACAATTATCTGGCTACGTTCAGTAAAACTGTCAGCTACTTCATCATTGTATAAATGTACTTTTCTGCTGTCTTTCAAAAATTTGTTATCTAGACCTTTTTGCCCTATAGGCGCGGTAACTTGAAACGGGCAGATGGCAAAAAGGTTTAAAGCCTTATTATAGTTTCAAACGTATTTTACAAAATAATTACATTTTTAACTAATGCTAAAAAACTACCAACGGAAGAAAATACTTTTATTATGGATTTTCAAAGATTACCGTTTATCTTCCGATAGCAAAGTCATAAGAATCAAGGTTATAGCTGGTTTTACATCTTTTTCCCTCTACTTTCAAATATTGTTGTTAAACAATGCTTAACTTTACTGGTTTTTGATACGTCGGTGGTAGAGTTTTTCAACCCTGGATCTTCATATATTACTATCTATTCTTCGGTAAATTCTAGAATATTATAAATGGAAAAATGCTATTCGACAAAATATCCCTTTGATCGATGCCAAATTTAGGTTCTGAATTGAAATAACATAATTAAAAAATAATATATCCTAGAAAATGTTTTATAAATACCAATGAATGTATAATTATACAAATGAGATCTTTCAGAGCACCGTGTTTGAGAAAAATATGATTTGCAAAAAAAGAGTGCTACAACGCCAAAAAGTGCATTTTCATATTAACATTTCAAAAGAGTTGATATTTTGAGTTTCTAGTAACACTTGCGGCCCTTTTACTAACGTTTTTATATTTAAATAAAACTACAAACAAAGCTACTAACTACAATTTAATCATAATTAAATAATATTCACGTAAAATATCCTATTGAACGTAATTGAACATCATCTGTCAAAAACGTTTGACATTTCACGGATTAGCAACCGTCCATTGTTTTATTTATATTACGCTTCTACAAAAATTTTCAAATTGAAAATAAAAAGTTTCTACGCGGATTTGAAATATTTTCTCACCTTTTGGACTTTCTCTGGATTGGCACGAATTTTTCAAGACTAAAACTGGCCAAATCGATTCAGGCGTTTTCGAGTTGTACTTGGACATTTGACAGAGAACTCCATTTTTATATATAAGATTACAAAAAATTAAAAAAAAAGCCTCGAGACTTAAGAATAGTTAAGAATCCAGTAAATCTACACTATATATCAAACAAAATACTACATGAGGCAATTCAAGTTCCGGAAATTATGGAATTAATAAATAAAATTTCAAAATTATTTTTTTCAAAATGTTTAGTTAATAATAACACAACAATTAATGTGATAAGTTCTGTGACAAAAGATATGTTCTGGTATTCTAACTATGTGCTACCTAATTTTATAAAAGATCTTTAGTTAAAATAAATATTTCAGTTTTAATTTATCAAAAGTTTTCCACCAGATTTATGTTTTTGTTAGTGTTGTATTGTCCTTAAATATATTGTTTGTGGTTTTTGTGATATTTTTCCACATAATAATTATTTTGATTAAAGTAATAATTGAGTGAATTTATTATAGTTTAAATAATTGTTTTGTTATCTTCAAATGAAGATTTGATTTGATTCATGTTGTAAATTTATAGATTGTATATATTTTTTCATATTAAATGTAATAAAAATCTTATAAACTAAAAAACTAACCTGCTGATGCTAGAACATTGTTGGGTATTTCAAAACAAGCTACTCACGGCATTAAATCTGGAATCAAATTTTTTTGTAACCTAGCATTTGGTGATAAAATTCATTATGGTACTCGACAATTAAAAGGTTCTGAACGTGAACAAATAGGAGAATAACTTTGTATTAACAATAAAAGCTCCAGAATCCTTGAAAATGAGAATAAGATAATACAAAATGATGGTATGAATCTTCCAATCTTGTATTCAAGTCATGTAATGAAACAAGCGAAATACGAGTCGAAAAACAAATTGCATGCATTCAAGGATCCTCGAAGATCCCTGGAATATATTTTCAGAAGCAATTATATAACAATTACAATAAAAAAACATTTGTTTAATAAAATCGATGCAACCGGGGGAGTCGTAGAGAAAATAAACCGATTCGATGAACAACTGACTAAAAATATATTTTTATATCAATGTGTAGTTATCACCGATAGTGGAACATTTCCAGTGGCTCAAATGTTATCAGGAGCGCATCATATGGTAGCCATACCGACACGCCTAAAGGAATTTGTGCGATCTGGAGTTTCTATTACGAAGAAAATTGTCTGTGATCAGTCGCAAGCACGTTGGTCAACTTGCCTGAGGGCATTCACCAATTACAATATAATTGTAGAATATGCCGACTATTTATTTGCTAAAAATTTACCATCATGCTATAAACGCATTGATGTAGCACGGTTTATTAAGTTATACACAATTATTTTAAAATCCCTTCGTTCATGTATAGCCAAATTGTATAAAAAATGTTTGTATTGGTTGATATCAAATTGAAATTGAAAATGAAGAGCAAGCTGCCGAGGATCTTGCGATTATATTGATTATATGCAGAATCGAAACCGAAGGCTTAAATAAAAATGTTGCCAAAACACATTGTGAAATGACAAAGAAGAAGGTTATTCAAACTGTGTTGCAGAAAAAAATAGAATTAGATAATAATACAATGATTTCAATACAAAGGGAAGATATGATTGATGAGGGTACTCAATTTTAAAATAACTTATTATATATGTTACGGTAAATGTGCACTCTTGGTGAATGTGCACATTAGAGATGTGACCTCATCATGTCCGAAGCCGGATCAATTCGGATTTGACTCCGCTTCAGGGAGGAGTTATATCCGCTTAACAACTCCAGGACTCCGACCACTTTGAAACTGAAATACTCGACACAAATGTGTTCTATTGTGCATCTAAGGATTTGTCAAACCCCATTTAATTTTTTGAAATGAAAATTTATGAATAAAATGAAATTAAAAATTATCAATAAAATAATTCACAAATAAATGACGAGTTGTAAAATTTTTCGATCGACCACATGATCGACTCAATGGCTCGTAATTTTAACAGTGCTGACCAAACGTAAAACTTGAGAATCGAATTTAATTTAATTATTTTCTTTTGATGAGAAAATAATTGATTTTTTGGATTAATTGTATATAAAAATATTGTAGTAAACTTTGTAATAAAAGCAAAACATTTATCCTAAAATATTTTCACCAAATAATAATACTTCTGCTTTTTAATTTTTTCTTCTGCTATTTCCATTCGAGAATTAATATTATATCGGGTAGTTCCATTAAATAAATGAATAAGCCTTTTATTTCTTGCCTATTTACAAATTTTTATATCATGATTATTGCTAACCTAACATAAGCGTGTATATACAGAACATTATAGTAATATGTAATATTAATATGAACATTATAGTAATATGTAATATTATTCGGCAAGAACCCCGGGTTGGGTATAGGCCTCCTCCAAAGATGTTCATGCTTCTCTATCTTGTGCAATATCTCTCCAGATCGTGCCAGCTGTTCGTCTCAGGTCGTCTTCCCATCTGGTTAGTGGTCTTCCACGATTTCGCTTACCCGCTGGACCATTCCACGATGTTACTCTCTTTGACCATCTTTTATCTGTGCATCTCACAACGTTCTTGGTATGTGCAAGTTGTTGGCTTTCTAAAATAGCGTTACTAATGGTATCGTAATAGTTTTGTATCATATCCCTTGCTTGTTGATTTGCTAGCACAGGTAATGTAGATTTAAGATGGTTCTTATAGATTTCTATTTCCTTTGCACTATTGAATTGACAAACTGGTTTATTGGTGAAACGCGCTCTGCTTGGTTTATGTTTAGATATTTTTTACTGCACCTCTGATGGCGCGATGGTCAGATGGGTAGTTCAGGTTTAAGACCTCGAATTTTGTAAATGATCGAATTTGGTTTGTGAGAATGTAATCAATCTCGTTTTTATGTCCATTCGGCAACTTCCAGGTCCATTTACGGTTTGGTTGTCCATTTACGGATGGCGTGTGCGCGGCCATTTTAGACAATAAACTGTCAGTAGTGAGCGAGCAGCCCAAGTACAAACACCATCGTGCGAGTCAAAGCGAAATTGCTGCGGTTTTGTGTAAACACGGCGTGTGCGCGGCCATCTTAGACAATAAACTGTCAGTAGTGAGCGAGTAGCCCAAGTATAAACACCTTTTATAACCTATCAAGCCATCTTGCGATATTTTTACATAAATAACGCCATCTTTTCGAAATAAACAATCATCACTATCCATTCTGTTAGGAAGCGCGCGTATCGGTGACAGAGCATCGCCGCCACTAGAGGGTGTAACTTACAAAAATAAACTATAAAATTAATTCCAAAATAATCATGGATGAAATTATGAAAGCTCTTAAAAAAATTCAGCTGGAACTTGACGACCAGTAATGTAACGTGACGACGTAACAGTGTATTAAAGGTCACAGAACAGGTTACACAAAACATCAACAGGATATTAGAGGAAAAACTTCTTGCTTTGGAAGAGAAATATGTGAAACTCAAGGAGATAGTAGACAACCAAGAGAAGAGAATCTACTTCCTAGAAAAACAGGCGAGACAAAGAAACATAGTTATTTTCGGTATCGAAGAACTGGAATCTTCATACGAAACCTTACAAAAACATATGCTCAATTGGTTAGACCTACACTTTTCAATCAAATTAACAGATGCCGATCTACAAGTAGTTAGAAGGCTAGGAAAAAAGGGCGATAAACCACGACCCACTCTGATATCCTTCTCAAATCTCAGCACTAAGATAAATATATTGAAACAGAAAAAAGCACTGCGCGACACGTGCTACTATATGAAGGAAGATTACCCAAAACAGATCCTAGAAAAAAGAAGACAATTACAAGAACAGCTGAAAATAGAGAGAGAAAATGGCAACATGGCTTTCCTTAAATATGACAAACTAGTCATACCTAAACAAACATCCAAAAGAAAGTTTTCTGCATCGCCATCAAAACTCACAGAAGAAATGTCGAAAGGAAGAATTACACAGACAAACAAAAAAAATAAGCCACAACATCAAGAAATATCACTGAGAAGATCTAACAGCATTACCGAAGGAGTAAACAAACCGAGCATGCTAAATTTCCTTACAAAAAATACAGCACAGGGACAAGAAACTACAAAAAGCAATGCGTAGCAAACAGCTGCTCCTCTCCATATAAACCCAACAAACTACTATTCAACGAAACATAACATAACAATATCCTCCAACCCGGTTGGTCACCGTGGAGGATTATGACACAACCCTCCAAAGAAAACTATAACACCAAGCAACAAAAGCAACAATAAAAATTGCTTACTTAAAATACTTACATTCAATGTCAAGACTCTATCAACTTACGAACGACAATTAGAATTAGAAAATTGTTTAAGCGCTATAAACTACGATATAATGGGAATTTCAGAGGACAGACAGCAGGTCAATACGGAGTAGGTTTCATAATAAACAAGGAGATAAAAAAATAACATAGAAAGCTTTATTGGTATATCGGAGCGTTTAGCCATACTCAATATAGACATAGGAGGTCATACGATATCCATTCTTCAAGTCTACTTTCCTACGTCAGATGCAGAAGAAACGGATATCGACGAATTATATGAGTCAATTGAGGAAGCATTAAAAACGGCGCACAAACACGTCATACTTATGGGTGACTTCAACGCGAAGGTGGGCACATCAAAAAATACCAGGAATTAGTCGTGAAAGAACATGGCTTTGGCACAAGGAATAACAGGGGACAGCAACTTGTTGACTTTGCACTCATACACAAGCTAACAATAGTAAATACCTGCTTTAAGAAAAAACCAAACCGTAAATGGACCTGGGTAGTTCCATTAGCATAATATTACTTTTACACAATTATATAATTGTGTAAAATCAAAAACGCGGTAACAGATTTAGTACCAGTTTGGGAAAGTCGGATATGACAAATCCGGTGATATAACTCCACTCGGATTCACTCCGAGGGAGTAGTTGTATCGGAGTGATAACTCCGGAGTGAGTTACCCATCTCTAGTGCACATTCACCGGTGAATGGGCACGCTGCTTTTGCACACTGCGCAATATTTTGCGACTAGCTCCGGTCAAACGTTAATAAAACGAATGATCCATCCCAGTTAGTTTAGCCGGTAGCTATAATAGCTATTAAGGATTCCCAATGGAGGTAACCTGAACTGTTTTTTTTGTAATGGTGTCGCATCGTCTCGTATTCCGATACGATGGACCGTCGCCAGGCCACGCGGACCGTCGTCTGCATGTCTTTCACACTTTCAAGTACAAACGCATTAGTAATATAAGATATTTTAATTTTTGAGCTTAATTTATGTGTCTGGACCGTCTACATCCGCGTCGATAGCTTTTTATGTGTCTGCAAAATGACTTGAAATAAGTCTAAGAAATCATTCCCTTCAGTTTCATAAATTAATGTAACCCGCCTCTTACGGGCGGGGCTAATATTGTTAATGTTAATTTTTAATAATTTTTATTAATCTATGCGATGTTTGAATGAAACTTTTACGATTGGCATGCCTACATTCATTAATGTATGACCTATTTTCTTACAATAACTACACGTCTTAGAAAAATTATTTGGATTATATTTTGTTCTAAAAAAACAATTATTAGCGGTGTGCTCTATTTTTTTTACATAATTCTCAATTTACGTTAATATGTGATGAAGTTACATCTTCAGTCACTGCAAAATTGGTAGCATCATTTAAGACTTAAATCACGTTTATATTGTCACGAGTGACTTATTTTTGTAGGTATGTATTAGTTAACTTTTGTTTTAGGTACCTACAGGTGTTTTTGACATGGCTTTTATTCCATCTGGCAAAAAGCGACTTATAAAGAAGCATTTCTACAATGGGGTTTCACAAGCATCACAGACAAAAATATAGAAAAGCCTCAGTGTGTTTTATGTAATAAAGTGCTTAATTCGGAAAGCAAGAAACCGAACAAATTAAAAGAACATTTTGCTAAAGTTCACAAGCAGTTTGCAGATAAAAATATAGATTTTTTTAAGAAAAAGGAGAAGATTCTGAAGTTTTCGCGCATGGATTCTACAGGCAACATACAGAAAGCAAATGAATCGTGCCTTCAAGCTTCATACAAAATTGCTTATCGTATCGCACGTAATAAAAAAAAACACACACTATAGGAGAGGACCTCATCAAACCTTGCATATTAGATGCGGTAACACTTGTTATAGGTGAGCAACATATAGCTAAGATTAACCAAATACTACTATCAAACAATACCATTCAAATTCGCATATGTGAAATGAGTGCCGATATTCTACAACCGTTATTGTTGAAATAAAGGAAAGTCCTATGTTTGCACTGCAGTTGGACGAGTCCACAGATGTTGCTTCGTGTTCACAATTATTAATGTTTACACGATACATTAAAAATGATGATGTGAAGGAGGAATATTTGTTCTGCAAGTTTTTGCCCACTACTACTCGCGGCGAAGACGTATTTCAGACTCTAAAAGAGTTTATTGAGGAAAATGGCCTGGACTAGTTAAAGCTGGTTGGTATTTGTACAGACGGGGCACTTTCCATGATGGGCGTCCGTTCTGGTTTTCAGTCTCTTGTGAAACAAGTTGCTGCTCAAGTTTTCAACTATCATTGTTTGATACACCGTTACGCTTTGGCTGTAAAAACACTACCACCAGTTATTATTTAAAGTTTTGTGTGATGAAGTTGGTGCTGCATTTAATGCACTTTTGTACCATACAGAGGTACGTTGGTTATCAAGAGGCAAAGTTCTAAGTAGGGTCTATGAATTACGAGAAGAAATTGGATTGTTTTTTGAAAACCAGAGAACTCAAAAAGAAAAAGAATATTATGACAAAATTAAAGACCATATATTTGTTCTAAAAATGACGTACCTTGCTGATTTTTCACTGAAATTAATAATCTGAATATTTCACTGCAAGGAAATAAAACAAATATTTTGATGCTGCAGGATAAAATTGCAAGTTTTTTACGCAAATTGGAATTTTACCAACGCAGAGTTAAGCTGGTGATGTGTCAATGTTTACACAACTAAGTGAACAATTACTAAATAATAAACGAGACAAAATCACATTTGAAAATTCTGTGGTGTAACACTTAACTGCCGTGATAGACTCACTGCAGCAATATTTTCCCGACATGGACATTCGTGAGTGCTACTCCTGGATTTTAAGACCATTTTCTACTTGCGTCGATATATTCAAGGACGAAGATGTGTCAGCTAGTGTCTCGGGCTGCGTGAAAATAACTTATTGAAAGTTGATTTTCAAAATGATAAACTCTGCACATTTTGGCGAAAAGCAGCTGCAGAATATCCCATCATAGCTGACAGAGCTTTAAAGATCTTGATTCCATTTGCTACAACTTACAGATATGAAACTGGTGTCTCAACTCTTCTTACATTAAAAACAAAAGCCAGAAATCGTATGAACATTGAGCATGATATGAGATGCTCGTTGAGTGAAACTGAACCTAATATTGTGAAACTTGTGAATGCAAAGCAATTTCAACCTTCGCACTAGTACTCATTTACATATAACTTTATATTACTAGTTACCTAAACATGCAATTTCTTAGAATTAGTTAAGAGTTAGATAATAAACATATTTTCATCGATTTTGTGTGGTTTTATTTATTTTAAATTGGCTAGGGGTAAACTCCACTCTCATACTTGTTTAGGGGTAGTGACACTGAAAAGGTTGGGAACCACTGATTTAAGTCATTGAATCTATATGATTTAATTAAATTTGTTAATGGAATTTTGATACGATCGACAAAACTTCTAAGAGCCGTCTCCATATATACAATTCGTAATCTTTCCGATATTTCTTGCCCTTGAGAATCGCAGTCTTTTTTAAACATTTTATCAACTATATCTAAAATTCTATCGCCAAAAGATTTAACAGATTCATTTGAAAATTGTTTAAGATAGTTTGGAATATAAAGTGGAAACAGAAGTTTGGTCATAATATTCTTTACATAAATGTGTTTTTAAAACTGAATAATTTGCAATTTTATTACGAATAACTTTAACTAATACTTTACTTGGTAACTTTCTTTTTACCATTAAAAATAATTTATGTGCTTCCTCCGGTAACAAATTTACATGTAACGAGTCACATGCATCAATAAATGCACGGACATTGGTTTCATTTTCATCAAAATTCGGAATAATAGCTAGAGCTAGATTTAAATCTTATTTATTTTCATTACTATTACCGATTGTATTCTTCATCTTGTGATTGAATGGTCCCTTGCCCTTGCTTAGGTATAGATCCTTGTCCAGGTTATCCGCTAGGCTCGAATATACACAATAGAATCGCCTTCTTGGAAAATTGCCACTGCTCGTTCCGCGTCTCAAAATAGTGTGGATGAATCACTTTTAAAGTTTTGGTTTAATTTCTTATAGATAATATTGATAAAAGTTCTGTAATGCACTTAATTACTCGGTTTTAACACATTATTTTAGTTTTATTCGATGATTTGTTTTATTATTGTTGTATTTTATACTGGAGTACTATTTTATCATAGTTTTGGTTTTTATTTATTACAGTTATTAGTTATTGACTGATATTTGTAGAATAATTAATTATTATCTCGTTTATTATTTAGGAACGCGCCAATTTTATCACTACAATTTTGATATATTAACACTTAATTTGAATTCACTAGTTTAAGTTTGTTTTCACACAAACATTTTTTTATTATTTTATTATAGATTTCGGAGTAGGTATCGCAATTAGCTGCCACCAAATGAAGAGATATTAATTTTTTTACCTGATTCGGCCCTTATTGTGGGATATGGGTCGATTTATAAAAGTTTTATATAAATGGTACCAACATACAAGATTAAATTACCAACATATTTTAATGAAAATGTGTTAAACATAAAATATTATAATGAATACATAATAGTTCTTAACAATATATATGTTACGGTAAATGTGCACTCTCGGTGAATGTGCACATTCACCGGTAAATGTGCACATTCCCCAAAACGCTAGGTGAATGTGGCGTGTTCTCAAACAATCAAATTAAAACAATGGTGTACGTGCGTACTTGGATCGGTCTTATGAACATCTCGCGTATTTGACGCATGCGCAATAAAGACTATGCGCGAAATACGTCAAGCATGTTACAAATTTTGTACCAAAATGATGTTATGGTGATAAATGATTAATAACATTCTGTTGAAGATATGTTCATTTTGATCAAGATATATAATAGTAGTTGAATAGTAAAGTAGTGAATCGTGAATAGTGATAACTGAATAGTTAATAGTAAATAGTGAATAGATTTTAGCAAATAGGGAATCATTATTAGTAAATAGTGAATTAAGAATAGTTAAATGGGTAATAGTTAATGGTTAAATAGTTAATAGTTATTAATTAAATAGTTAATAGTTCATAGTTAATAGTTAATAAATAAATGATTAATTGGTCAATAGTAATAAATAATGGGTATTAATATGCATATGACTAAAATAATTAATATAAATATAAATATAAATATATGAATTAGTATTTCACCGCACGTGCGCACGCGCGCTAGTTGAACTCACATTCGCCAAATGAGCCGGTAAATGTGCACATTCGCCGAAATATGCACATTTACCGTATACCATATATATATATATATATATATATATATATATATATATATATATAATAATTTATTATAATAATAAATTGTTACTGCTTATTAATTTCTCATTTTGCTAAGTATATATTATTTTATAGAACTAGAAGAATTTTTGATATTACCTAATGAAGCAGTAGGAGTTCAAGATGGTGTTTGGACTGTTGAGAGAACAGCATTTTTAATAGAATGTTTTAAAAAATATAAGCCAAATGTTGGTTCATTAGAAATGAGAACAGTGAAGGCTATGTGGATTGTCATAAAAAATGACATGAATATTAAATTTGGCATTACATTTACTGAAGGCAATATTGAAAATCGTTGGAGAATACTTCAACGAAATTATAAAAAATATGTTGACAGTCAAGCTACTGATACGAATAATGATGTAAATATATAAAATAATTTTATAAATATTAACAAATATGTCTAATAGGACAAGGAAATTTCAATTTCCAGTATGCAGAAGAGTTTGATGAAATATATGGCAATAGCACCTGGATAATTTTTAAACCAGAACATCTGGTGTGACCGTCGCTGTAACATTGTAAAATATTATTACATATAAGGTCAGGAAAAAGTTTGTTAATCCTGTAAACAGGGACGATCCTGCCCAGGTTCGACGGTTCATACAATTAGGTTATAAAATATGTCAATAAAATGTCGGGCCTAAAATCCAAATGAATAGTGAGTCTAGCATAAACAGGCAAAGAATAAGGAGGTGTTTTGTAAAATAGTATATAGAATAAATTTAATGTGAATCTAAGAGAAGTTTCATTTTCTAACACAATCATCGTCGAGATTTCGCATTTCGTCGATTAATAAAAATTACAGTCCACTATCGAAGCATCAACAACGACGTCATGTAAATCGCTCCATTTGGTCATCTTCGACCCAAATTTTTAAAGTTGACTTTAATCAACGTTTTGAGCCACGCATTCAAGCTTTGGACAGACCAGTTATCAAGACAAAAGCTTTTTAGTACTGACTAATAAATGTATTTAAATAACTGAGTTTAAATTGAAAGTGATTGTGAAAGTGAAACTGTAAAAGTATTCAAAACTTTTCTTACAAATACACCTAATAATATTAAAATTGTTGTGTGCAGTGAATTAAGCATTAACAAAGTTATCGTTGTTGTAAACGCGTGTAATTTACGGTGAAATTAATGGACGCTTTTGCTGCATTTGCTCGAATCCAATACTGATTCGAACCACCGCCGTAATCCAATACTGATACGATAGCGACGCCGGAAGCGACCAGCCTACTATTTTGAGGATTTCACCAGGAACGTGAAGCACCATCCGAGTAACAGTGATCTCTCCAGTACGAGTATTTTGGATCCACTCGAAGATACCGCCACGTTTTCCGTCAAATCAATACTACACCAGATAAGCCATAATTTTATTTTATTATATAAACCTGGACATATTATTGATTGAAATTGGATCTTGCTCTAAGATTTTGGGCCAATTTCGTTAATCCTTAGGTTATTAAATCTTATGAAATATTATATTAGTCATTATAAACATCACTAATTATTGGTTTATATATTTGTTAATTTATTTACACCACAACTTATGTTATTGATGTGTTAGACCCCATTTCTAATAATATTAAATTAGAATTGTTAAATAATCAATTATAGTATAGATTTAAATTCTGATATAACCGCTGATATTGCATAACGCCTGTTATACGTAAAATTTTGTAACGGTTTGCGCTTCTCTATCAGAAAATTAAATTAAGTTATCTTGAGTTCTAAAAACAATTAAAATGGCAGAACTTAAAAAACTTTTAAGAAGGCAACAAAGCTTCAAATCATCTTGAAAGGTTAAATAATGATAATTGGGATCAACATTCTTCAGAAATGATAAAAGGTATTAAAAGCATGTTTGACAATAGATTCGCGGAGTACGAAAAGGTTAGGGCAGCCATCCACGACTCGCTTGACGAGCAGGATGAAGATGTTTTAATAGATAATCTTTACCTAAAGCTAACCATTAAATTCACGCATCACATAGACAATTCAAATAGTACACAAAATAATAGTAAAAATTGTGTTAATTCAGCCATAAAATTACCGAATATTCAAATTCCAACTTTTGATGGTAAATATAATAAGTGGATTAGTTTTAGAGACTTATTTACATTCACAATCCACAATAATATTACTTTATCGGATGTCAAAAAACTGTACTATTTGAAATGTCATGTGTCGGGAGAAGCTGCCACTATAATTAATAATATAGCCCTCACTGACAATAATTACTCTGAGGCATGGGCTTTGTTATCTGCAAAATTTGAAAACACGTGTATAATTGCCTATTCACATTTACAAAAAATTATGGATATTCCAACGTGTTCGAAAGGTACATACGAAATACTAAAATCTTTCTTGAATATTGCACAGCAAAATCTAAATTCTCTCAAAGCGCTGGGCATAAAAGTTGAAAATTGGGACCTTTTAATGGCCTTTTTATTATTAAATAAATTAGATACAGATACCAAAATAAAATTTAATACCTTTCGATCACAAAAGGAATTGCCGACTGTATCGGAACTTTTTAAGTTTTTGGAAAATAGTTGTTTGGCTTTGGAGCTTTCTCGTAAGTTAGACATAGACCCGGACAAAACTCATTTCAAACGAAAAGCTTTGGTTTCGGTTTCAAATATTCAAGCGATAGTTTGCAAGCTCTGTACAAATGCACATCATCTTTCTACATGTAACAAATTTATTGAAAAAACAGTTTCAGAAAGGTTAATTTTCATTCGCGAAAATAAAATGTGTTTAAAATGTTTAGGTGACGGACATACAATCCGATCATGTAAATCAAAATATAAATGTAAAATGTGTCATAAACCTCATAATTCTTTATTACATTTAGAACAGAGTCTGCAAACTAAAGCAAATAACCCGCAATCTCCCGGGCCGTCTACTGCGGTATTACCTGCATCACAAGTTTTGAATGCTAATTTAAATAACACGTGCGCTCTATTACCGACTATTTGCTTATTTGTCAAACATATTTCGGGAGAAAAAATTCGTGTACGGTGCATTCTAGATACGGGTTCAGAAATAAATATTATTACCCGAAAGTTACTGAATTCTCTAGATATAAAGACCGTTCCAAGTTCCGTTCAGCTGACTGGAGTTAATGGCATCAATATAAATGGCGATTCAATTGCACGCGTATCGATTTCAAACGAGTCTTCTAGTTTTTCAAAACAGTTATCGTTCGTCATATTAGAAAAAATTACAAACAAAGTACCTTCGAATTACATAAATCCGTCCCAGCTAAATTTACCTGTAGATGTTACTCTCTCGGACCCCCAGTTTTATATACCTGGCGATATTGATATGTTAATCGGGGTCAAATCTTAAGAGGTGAAAGCATATCTTTAGGACATAATTTGCCGGTTTTACAAAATTCAGTGTTTGGGTGGTTTGTTTGCGGATTAGCCTACCCGAAACATGAAAACTTGTCAAATTATAAAAGAACGTTTATTGTAAATAATCTTACATTAAATAAAGCAGTTTCGAGATTTTGGGAGATAGAAGAGATTAATCACGAGGAAATTCCAAACTTAGACGATAGTTTATGCGAAGAGAATTTTGTAAATAACGTAACTATAAATATAAATGGTCGATACACCGTAGCATTACCATTAAAACCAAATGCTTCGACAGCTATAGGCAAATCATTGCAACAAGCAAAGCGTAGATTTTTACATTTAGAAACTCGCCTTAACAAAAATGAGAATTTGAAACGACAATATTGCGATTTTATTAATGAATATATTAAATTAGGGCATGCTTATGAAGTTCCTAATTTTGAACAAAATATCTCACAAAATTCGTTTGCATATTACCTGCCCCACCACGCTGTTTTTAAAAATAGGTGTGACAACATCCGAGTTGTCTTTGACGCGTCTGCGAAAACATCAACAGGCATTTCTCTGAATGACGTTCTTTATACAGGACAAAAATTACAACAGGATATTTTTACTATCTTACTGCGCTTTAGATCGTATATTTATGTAATGACCGCGGATATTGTAAAAATGTTTTGACAAATTCGCGTCAATGAAGAACATCAAAATTTGCAACGAATTTTATGGCGTGAAAATATTCATGACAAAATTAAATGTTTTAATTTATCTACAGTTACTTATGGAACTGCTTGTGCGCCATATTTGGCTATTCGTTGTCTGAATCAACTCGTATTAGATGAGGGAGAGAGCTTTCTTTTAGCTTCACGCGCTGTCCAACACGATTGCTACGTGGATGATATTATTTCGGGTGCAAATTCATTAGAAGAGGCAATAAAGTTAAAGGAGGAACTAATACAACTTTTTAATCGTGGCAATTTTCAATTGCATAAATGGACTGCTAACAACAGTAGCATTATTGATTCCGTTCCCTTACAAAATCTCAAAACGAATGCGTTCAATTTAACCGATAATAAAAATATAATTAAGGCTTTGGGTTTACTGTGGGACCCCAAGAAAGATGTATTTCAAATCTCTTCAAATGCTTCAATTCCATCATCACAAAGAACAAAGCGCGCCATTTTATCATCTATTGCCAAAATTTTCGACCCTCTTGGCCTTATTTCGCCTTGTGTAGTTTTAGCTAAATTAATAATGCAAGATATATGGCAGCTAAAAACCGATTGGGATGAAGTTGTTGATAGCACTATTATGAACCGTTGGCTCGATTTTGAAAATAATATAATACACATACAAAATATAATCATTCCGCGTCCGTTATTTGAATTAGACAAAATTGATCGGATTGAAATTCGTGGTTTTTGCGATGCCTCCATGAAAGCTTACGGAGCTTGTTTATACATTAAAACTAATTATCATAATAGGAAGCCTACAGTACGCTTATTATGCTCAAAATCTAGAGTGGCTCCGCTTAAATCGATAACCTTACCTCGGCTTGAACTCTGCGCTGCACTATTGTTAACAAGATTATACAAAAATACCGTTAAGTCTTTGAATTTCAAAGTAGATAATAATTATTTTTGGAGTAATTCAAGTATTACCTTGTGTTGGATCATCACGCGGCCAGAAAAATTAAAACAGTTTGTAGGAAACAGAGTAGCGGAAATACAAACTCTTAATAATATAATATGGCGACATGTACCGACAACGGACAATCCGGCCGATTTCATTTCGCGCGGTATTTACGGTCATAAGTTAATAAACATGGACTTGTGGTGGTATGGTCTAGCATGGCTTAAATTTGAAACTGACTCCTGGCCGTCAATTTTTAAAGTAACGGATAATATCAATTTTGAAGTTCCCGAACAAACAATTCAAAGAAAAATAAATACTTGTGCACAGAGGATGGACGACATGTTCCTACGATTTTCTTGTTTTAATAAACTCCAACGCGTAATGGCTTATTGTATTAGGTTTATTAAAAACTGCAAGAATACGACTGTCGGACCGCTGACAGTAACCGAATTACAAGAATCATTACACCATATTGTTAAAATCGTTCAAAAACAAAATTTTGAACACATTCTCAAATATTTGAACAGCGGGTCTGCTTTTTTAGGATTAAATCTAGATCTAGAGTCTATTACGCGTTGGGGTCGAATACAAATGGCAAACATAGAATATGAACAAAAGTTTCCATTGTTATTACCAGCCGATAATCATTTAACAAATTTAATTTTAAAACGAGAACATGTCTGTTTTTTGCATGTCGGTCCACAGACCGTTCTAGCTAATGTTAGACTGCAGTTTTGGCCAATCAAAGGTAGAATCGCAATAAAACGTATAATCAAAAATTGTGTGCGCTGCTTTCGTTTTAATTCTACTAGTTCTCAGCAGATAATGGGAAATCTAACAATTGAACGAGTAACCATAGCTCGTCCTTTTTTAAATGCCGGAGTAGACTATGCAGGCCCAATCAATTTGCGTACAAGTCGGCTACGAAAAGCACCGCAAATGAAGGGCTACATAGCACTTTTTATTTGTTTTAGTACAAAAGCCATACATCTGGAACTAGTTACCAGTTTGACAACCGACGCATTTATAGCTGCTTTGAAACGTTTTATCTCGCGCAGAGGCAAATGCAGTAAAAATTTTTCTGACACTGGTACAAATTTCATAGGCGCTAGGCACGAGTTACATAAACTGTATAATTTGTTTAAAAATGAGCATAGCAGAAACGAGGTGATTAACGCGGCTGCCGTAGAGGGCATTGAGTGGAAATTTAATCCACCCAACGCACCACACTTTGGTGGTTTGTGGGAAAGCGCGGTAAAATTAATTAAGCATCATTTGCGAAAAGTAGTGGGAGAAACTTGTCTAACTTACGAAGAATTTTCCACGGTTTTAACCCAAATAGAAGCAATAGTTAATTCAAGGCCAATTACAAGTGTTTTTGATGATAGTAATGAACCCACGTTTTTAAGTCCCGGACATTTTTTGATAGGTGAAGCACTTACCGCATTTCCGGAACCCAGCTTAATCGACGTGACGTTAAGTAGATTATCACTTTGGCAACAACTTAATCAATTAAAAGATAAATTTTGGAAACGTTGGTCCATAGAGTATCTCGGTCAGCTTCAGAGTCGTTACAAATGGAAAACTTCCTCAAAAAATTTCAAAATAGACGACATAGTTCTTTTAAAGGAAGATAATTTACCTCCATTAAGCTGGTTACCGGGTCGCGTTATAGGCATTGCAATCCGCAAAGTTAAAAATGTGAGAGTAGCTACAGTAAAAGCAAAAAATGGCATATTTATAAGGCCAATTGTTAAATTGTGCCCCTTACCGGTAGGAGATGTAGAATAGATTTTTTTTTCTCATAAAATAAATATATTACTGTACTTTCATTATTTACACAGTACAATTATTTTAAAATTAGTATTAAGAATTATGTTTTACTATGAAATTCATATTGGTATTTGTCAATAATCCTTTTTTATATAAACTGTTGTGATCAATACATTCACATAATTTCACAATTACTTTGTAATTTTAATTAGTACATAATGCCATTGTACAATTACATACTTATATACATACTGATCTTAATTATAAGTGAATAATTAAGGCGGCGGAGAATGGATAATTTTTAAACCAGAACATCTGGTGTGACCGTCGCTGTAACATTGTGAAATATTATTACATATAACGGTCAGGAAAAAGTTTGTTAATCCCGTAAACAGGGACGATCCTGCCCAGGTTCGACGGTTCATACAATTAGGTTATAAAATATGTCAATAAAATGTATTACGTCGGGCCTGAAATTCAAATGAATAGTGAGTCTAGCATAAACAGGCAAAGAATATGGAGGTGTTTTGTAAAATAGTATATAGAATAAATTTAATGTGAATCTAAGAGAAGTTTTATTTTCTAACACAATCATCGTGGGGATTTCGCATTTCGTCGATTAATAAAAATTACAGTCCACTATCGAAGCATCAACAACGACGTCATGTAAATCGCACCAGCCACAATATGAAAATAATCTGCATACTGGAAAACAATGCAGAAGCGCGGGATGATAGTGCATATGAATTTCGAGAACATATTGCAACTTCAAGAAGAAGGCAGCGCCGTTGAAGGCAAACAATATTAGAGAAAATCCGAAAAGATAAATTGAAGTTCCAAGAACCAATTATACAAATTGAAGAAGCAAAATTGAAAATTCTAAAACAAAAGTATGGAATGCTTTAAAATAAAATAATACTAATAAATTTTCATTAAATATAATAAATAAATCATTATACAATATAAATGCCTGATTTTAATTTATTAATTCAATATATTTATAAAATATTTGTAGTAATTTTTTTAAACCAATAATAATTTCAGAGATTGTACCTGAAACTATTTATAATGATATTCGAGTGTCGGAGGCTCAAGTAGGTGATTATATCAGAGAATGGCTTCGTCATGCAAAGAGCAGTTACACTAGGAATAAAGAGAAGGACTGAAGACAGGTTTTTAAATTTAGTTAGGTTTATTGAATTATTTAGTTAGGTTTTTATTGTATTATTTTGTTAGGTTAGTTTTATTGTATACTTGTAATTGTAAGTTCCTCAACAGATTTGCCAAGTTTTATATAATCAAACTTTTTTCTATGTATGTGCACCCAAGTGCTGCCCTGCAATTAGTACGGCCCTGCCGTACCTCGTGATTGCCCTGCGTGATGCGCACGCATCAAGATGGCTGCCTCCGTCCTGTATAAAAGAAACGGCCATCGAAGCAAAAGGTCTCTTCAACCATCAGCGGCCAACAAGGACCAATCAATACACAAATTATATTAAATAATAATAAATAGTATTGGACAAAATCAATCTGTTAATAGATAATACTCGGTGACGTGATATAATAGTTGGTGACGTGATAAAAGGTATATTCATCTACCTGACGTGAGTAAAACAGAACAATAGTAAATTAACTTAAGTGTATTATTCAAGATTCAACAACATTTTTTATTTTTTTTATAAGAAGTGTCATTTTTCTTTTTTTTTTTGAACATTCATTGACATTTTATAGTGAATATTTAATTTGTTTTTCTCAATTATTTGTGAAATAAGTGAAGGAGATAAGACAGTGAAATCAGAAAATCCAAACGACGCAAATGCAGGCGTATCACATGGAATTGCGAGGCCTATACCAGCATTTTGGTATGAAAAACCTCAATTATGGTTCGCGATGATCGAGGCTCATTTTAATCGAACACGAATAAAAACAGAAGATGTCAAATATGAATTTATATTATCATATTTAGATGACAAATTAGCCTGTGAAGTGGAAGATATAATATTAAATCCACCGAAAGTCGAACACTATACTAAGTTAAAGAAAGAAATAATACAACGTTTATCACAGTCACAGGACCAAAAGATTCGAAGGTTGCTACAGCAAGAGGAACTGGGTGATCGAAAACCGTCGCAATTTTTACGACATCTAACATCACTGGACGGTTCACTACTAGATGAAAATATTTTAAGAACCTTGTGGCCTCAAAGATTACCTACGCATACACAACAAATATTACAGGCCCATCCGACCATGAAAATTGAAGACCTAGCCGCCATAGCAGATAGCATCGGTGAGGTTAACATCGCGCCAACAGTAGCCGCCACAAGCCTTACCGACAGTACAACGTCTGAATTATTAAAACGAGTAGAAGACCGGAGAAGAAAGACGAACAGCACACTTTGGACGCTCGGCTACGATCATCCCTACAATACACATAGCCTCTTTAAGCGCCAGGTAGCTGAGTCTGCGCGAAAATGAGGGACATCCAGTTTCAGAAGAATATCGATGGAAGGTACAGCAGCTACACTCTAAGAACGGTGATATCTTCAAGGAAGCAAAAGGCCCGCGTAACCACGCCGAGCATTATATCTTCACAGGCAATCATGCGCCCATCGCAGTCCCACCGTACCGGTTATCACCTGCCAAACGCATGGCACTAAAAACGGAACTCGACGAAATGATCAGACAGGATATCGTCGAGGTGTGCGATTTACCATGGACAGCTGCGGTGGTAATGGTGTCAAAGAAGGATGGCGGTACTAGAGTATGCGTAAACTACCGTAAACTCAACGCCATTACGACAGCAGACAGCTATCCTCTACCACGAATCGACGATCTGATACATCTAACCAACCGAGCCAAGGTCATTTCGACCATAGACGCCAACGCCTTATGGATTGTCTCCGTTCCAGCCTACCCGACGTACCAATTCTAAGCTACCTGGACGACCTAATAGTATTACCAGAAGACTGGATTCAATACCTTCATCATCTAGACTACTTGTTCGCGAAAATTCAGGCACCGCGAATGAACCGCGAGAAATGTCGGTTCTTCTGCACCGAAGTAAAGTACCTAGGACATATAGTGACGCCCGAAGGAATTCAGACTGATCCAGAGAAAGTAGCGGCCATTGTAGGAATGAAAACCCTCAGGAACGTTAAAAATTACTGACATTTCTACAAACCTGCTCGTGGTATAGGCGATTCGTACCTGATTTTGCAAAGGTACCCAACCCCTGAGCCAGCTAACAAAGAAAAATAACGAGTGGAATGGGGAGAGGACCAGGACAAAGCTTTCCGGCATGCCAAGAAAGCACTAATGACGAGCCCTATCCTGAGGCAGGCAGACGAGATGAAACTGTACACCCTGCAAACCAACGCAAGCAGCTACGCTCTAGTGGTAGTATTAACGCAAGGAGAAGGCGCCGACTATTGACTCCGGCTGAAAGGAATTATAGCATCACGGAACGCGAAGCACTGGCGGTGGTATGGGTCGTTAACAAATCCCGTGGATACATCGAAGGGGCCACGATAACGGTAGCCACAGATCACAGGCATCTAAAATGGTTAATAACCCTACAATCGCCCAGTGGTCGACAGGCGGGATGGGCATTA